CAAAAAGCTTTAACAATGTCATAAGAGATGCAAGGAAAAAACCAATCATCACAATGTTAGAAGAAATTATATTGTATGTTATGGAAAGACAGTTTAATTTGAGCATCAAAAAGTAGTTCATGGCCTGAATTTAAACCATGTCCAACAATTATAACCTTACTTAAGCAGTTACAAAAGCTAAAAGGTAAAAATGTTTTAGATTTTTAATTTGATTACTATTAACATATACTAACTTCATACCAATGTTTTTAGATATTGGCAGGTTCTACCAACTGGTTTAAACCAGTTTGAGACGAGAAAATTGGCAGTCTTATGTTGTGGATTTAGACAAGAAGACATGTTCTTGTAAAGTGTGGCAACTGAATGGCTATGGGTGTGCATTTGTAACGTCCCAAAAATTCATAGTAAAATTTTCATTTTTAAAACAATAAAACATACAAACGAGTTGTTCCAAAAAACAATCAAGGTGAACATATTATTTAAAGATCATAGCAGATATTGAAAATTGCCAATGTGGAAAACTCTGGTGGATGCGGTGCAGTCACGTCGGGCCCTTCACTTTCGTACTGGAAATACATAAAAACCATAAACATAAACTGTAAGCACAAAGCTTAGTGAGTTCCTCAAAATACCACAAGTGTCATGGGCTACCCCTATGGTCTTTTCTTGCAATGCCGACGACCAAATCCCGGTTTTACATACAAGTGTCATGGGCTACCCCGTGGTCTTTCCTTGCAATGTCGAGGGCCAAATCCCGGTATTACATACAAGTGTCATGGTCTATCCCCATGGTCTTTCCTTGGAATGTCAAGGGCCAAATCCCGGTCCTGCATACAAGTGTCATGGGCTACCCTTATGGTCTTTCCTTGCAATGTCGAGGGCCAAATCTCGATCTTACATACAAGTGACAGGGGCCAGATCCTGGTCTTTCATACAATTGTCAAGGGCCAGATCCTGGTCTTTCATACAATTGTCAAGGACCATGTACGCATAGCGAACCCTTTAGTACGCCCAGCATACGCGGCTGTCGTCCTGCCAATTCATCAAGAGCTTAATCCTTTAAGCTCTTTTGTCCAAAATCCAGATCTAACCCTCAAATGATATCCTTAACCATAAAGTTTCCAACTTTAGGGTCTTGCATGGCTATTAAGTCTTCAATGTCCAAAAACCCTAACTTCTTAACCCATTAAGACATCCAAGACCATGCATGGAGGAAACTAGGGACCAAGGTCACATTTTTATGGTTCCTAATGACTCCATAATGGATAAAGTTTCCAACTTTATCCATTAGAATGGTCCAAACAACCAAGATCTAGTCTTAAGTCTACAAAGGACCAAAAGTGCATCTTTTTCAACTTAATCCATTAAGTCTAAGTCTCCAACCTTTAGATTTGAATCAATATGATGTTTAGATGGGTAAAGTTTCCAACTTTATCCATAACAAGGTCACAAACTTTCAGTATCTAAAACTTATGCACTAAAGTGACCAAAAACTCATAACACCCAAAACTAGCTAGATCTAACAAATGCATCATCAGGATTCAAGCTTTATACCTCTAGAAAAAAGATCAAGGTGAACAAAGTCTGGATCTACTAGCTCCAATGCAACCAACACTTCTCTAATGAGCTCATTCTTCTCCACGATGCACCAAGAACACTCCAAAGCACTTAAAAACACCTTTTTTTGCTCACAAGGCTCAAACTAGGGTTAGGGTTTCAAGGGAGGGTGTTGGAGAGGTGGAGGCTGATAATGAAATGAGTTTGGGGAAGTTAAGGAGCTTAAATAGGGCTCAAACCACGAAAATAAGGTTTAGGCACTGATCGTGTACGCCCAGCATACTCCTGGTACGCCCAACAGGGATGCCCTAGTACGCCCATCGTACTTCCCCGTACGCCTAGCGTACACGGCTTAACCCAAAACCGTCATAACTTCAAACGGTCATAACTTCTTCGTTTCAACTTCGATTTCAATGATCCTTATATCCACAGAAAGGTAATGAGAAGTTCTACAACCCTATTAACTCTTATTTGCCTTAAAACTTTCCGAAATCAAATCCAAAATTCATAAAATGCCCGAACTATCACTTTACGGTTATACCCTTGGACTCTAAAGCACCAACCGAACTCTCGGATTCCCCATCCCTGTCCCTATCCACGATCAACTTAAAGATTATCCGATCAGACCGGGTGTATGTTTCGCGTTTCCCATAGGTTTTTTTTCCGTCCTTAGTTGCACTAGAGCTAATAGAGAATAATCTTTTTCAAAGAAATATTACTCATTGCTAAAAATAACACCAAGTTAACAATAATATATTCTAATTTATCCTTTTGAGTACTTAAAATCTCATAATTATTTAAATCGTTCATATTATGTAAATTTATGGCTAAATAGTAACTTAATTATAATACTAAGAGCATCTTCAATGAGAACTTGTTTTAGAATTTTTTTTTTCTATTATTTATTTTCATTTAATATCATTGGGATAAATTGCTTTTCATGTATTTATATTATTATTTACTATTCAATATATATTAAAGTAATCAATATAGTATAAAACTTTAAACATCTAACCTTATACTTTGAACATATTTTATTTTTAACCCCTTAATTATATTCTAATTTTAAGTATTTTTCATTTATTTAACTACTTAAATATTTCTATCAATGTTTATATATTAATTTCTAATGTTAATTTAATTCAAAATATTTCATATTAAAGTATAACTTGTTTTAAGATGGCTAATTAAATGATGAGGTTTTATGAATATTTTAGCTCATTTAATTAGAGGTTAAAAATATTACAATAATAAGGTGACAAAAATATTAAATGATAGGATATGTTTATCATTGAAAATACTCTAAATTATTTCAAACATTACATGAAATTGACTCACCTTATATTACATGTGTTACGATTCTTCTCTTATTAGAAAGATTCACCTTATATTACATGTGTTACGATTCTTCTCTTATTAGAAAGATTAGGCCTTTAGAATATCTAAGATATTATATTATCTTCAATTCAAAACTTCTAAGTGTTGTAATAAACTCACTAAACTACTAGATCATAATGTAGACATGCCAATTTAAAAAAGAAAAAAAGAAAAAAAGAAATTAAATAACCTATTGCCTTTTATTTCTACATATAATTCTATCCAATTAAATGGTGACATGTGTAATATTTAATTCTCATTTAATGAAATTTAATGATATTTTAAGATAGTAATATGACACATGTCGTCATTTAAATGGATGAAATGATTGGTAGGAACAAAAGATAGGAGAGGATATTCAATTTCTTAAAAAAAAATTAAAATTAAAAAAATGACCACCCAAACATTTTTATTTTAGATCAAACATCCTTACAAACGGTTATTAAAACCAAAATTCTCAAAGTTTCCAAGAGCTATACAAATCTCCTAATGTTTCCTTTTATTATGTCACTACACGTCACCTCAAGATTCCTAATCCCAAATTACATGATGAAGATAAAGTTATATTACATTTAAGCATAAAGCATATAAACAATAAATGCTAAACTCAACACCTTAAGGCATATTATCACTCATCACTCGTAGTCAACGTTTTGAGCATATAATCACATACCAATCCGAGTATCTAGTTCACATAACGTATTCCATAATACCAATTTAAACACCTCAAATACATTTGCTAAGATATTGTCTGATTTAGACCAACCGACATGGGTACATGTAAGGGTTCATCCATATTTAAATTGTTCTTACATGGACATGCTTTAACTGCAATGTTCTCATGTGATACCCTTCTTATACAGATTTAAAACACTTATTGGAAGAAGATTTATCCACATCCTTAAAAAGAATGTTTCGTCCCCTTTCCCAGTTGATATGGATGTAACACCCAATATTTTATACATTTAAAAACATTAAAATGAAACATCATTTACGGTAAAAACATTTTGTACATTTAGCCCACAAAAGAGGTTACATCAAATATCAACAACAAAAATGAAGCATACACGCTAATTCGCAACTAAAATTAGCGAAAGCTTCACTCTTTCTCATATGCAAGTTTGACATACTCATTAATTCGCAGCTAAAATTAGTGAGCATTTTTATGAAGAAGTAACTCGTGAATTCACAGTTTTTTAGCGATTTGAGTGATCATTTTATAATAAAAAAAATAAAAGAATGGTTATTTAGTAAATAAGCCTAAACTTTAAATTTTTTATACAGAACGTTGTAGTTTAAATGGGTAGACTTTGGTCTGTTAACAAATTTATTATACTAAGAAATAAATTGATTAATATAATATAAGATCAACTTATTAATCTAATGGGTCAAATTGTTTTTAAATTAATATATTTAACTATATATGTCAATCCGAACATAACAGTGGGCTAAATTGGGCTTTTAAGTAGTCCTGTTTGCAGAGTTAACAGAGTCCTAAAATTGCTCGCTAGTCCATGTACATCCTCTAGAACACACATCATGTACTGGTACGGGCAGACGGGCAGCTGATCGGCAATTCGTCATTTCTTCCCGCGCCTTTCACGATCATCTCCACCTCCACCACCGCCGGGTACACTTGTCTCTTCCGTTGCTTCTTTTGGTTTCAACCATGTCATTATATTTTGATCATTGCATGATCACGTATACGAAAAGGCGATGTTGATTTATATACGTTAGATTTGATTCCCGTTCTTACATAAAATATCAAATTCATCACCACATATATGTTTCATCTTTTATCTACGCAATCGTGTTTGAGAGTTTTTTCGTTGATCACTGTTGTAAACCCTAGCTATGTAACGGGGATATTGATGGTTTTTCTTTTAATTAATCGGTCCATAGGCATAAAATTACGTGTGTGATGTGTATGATATTTCGAATTTTTAAGTTTGTTCGTTGTTTCATCGTCGATATCTCCTGTAAACCTAGATAGATTGAATCGACATGGATGATCCTTTTTTTGTGTGTGTGGGTAAACCCTAATTAGACAGAGAAAAGGTACGAAGATGACGCTATCGGAAGAAGAAATGAAGCGTTTGTGTCGGATCCGCAGAACTGTTATGCAAATGCTGAGAGACAGAGGTTATCTGGTTGGAGAATTCGAGATCAATATTGGATTAAACGAATTCTTCAGGAAATTCGGTGAAAACATGAAAAGAGAAGATCTCATAATCAGTAAAGCCAATGCCAATGATTCCTCCGATCAGGTTTAATTCCAGATACCTTCTAATCATCGTTTCTATATATTCACATTTTCTTGTTTACATACATTAATTATCAGAATTTTCAAATCAGATCTATGTCTTCTTCCCCGATGAACCAAAAGTTGGTGTTAAGACCTTGAAGACTTACATTGAACGCATGAAATCAGAAAACGTAATCCGAGCAATATTGGTTGTGGTTGAAAATCTTACACCAATTGCCAGAAACTGCATGAGTGAGATCGCTACAAAGTTTCAATTGGAAGTTTTCCAGGTGATTAATTTAGTGATTTCACGATTAGAAATTAATTATTATAGTGCACAGTGATATCTTGAATCTTGAGATATGGTTTTTAATTTTGCAAGTTCAGGAAGCAGAGTTGTTGGTGAATGTTAAAGATCATATTTTAGTTCCTGAGCACCAGGTGCTTACAAATGAAGAAAAAAAGACTTTGTTAGCAAGATACACTGTCAAAGAAACACAGGTGATTCCTCACATTTTCTCAACATATATACAACAAATTTCCAAAGAGCTATTCGCTAAATTAACTTCCATATTTAGAAGCTTAGTATATACTCTTATTTTTAATATAACCATATTTTTAGTTTCTATCATAAAATGACAATCTGCTGCGTAAGAGCAAAAAAAAAAAAAAGAAGATAGTCCAAATATATAATTTTTAATCAATAACTTATATCTAAATTACTTATCTTATGTCTAAAATAGTGACAAAAATAGATGTTATGAAAAGTGATGAGTGGTTTTGGTTTTGATGGAATGCAGCTGCCACGAATTCAAGTGTCGGATCCAATAGCACGGTATTACGGGTTAAAACGTGGTCAAGTTATGAAAATTATTAGGCCAAGTGAGACGGCTGGACGTTATGTCACCTACCGTTATGTTGTTTGAATTTTGAATTCGTCAATTTTTGGAAGATTTTTTTTGGCTACAAGTATCGTTAATCAGTTTTCATATTTTGACTATTAGACTAAAGCACTTTTTTTTTTTTTTTTTTTTTTTCTGTTTAAGTCCTAATGTACTGAATTGATAAAGTGTTGATATGAAACTAAACATATGAGTATTTTACTTTCTGTTTAAAAATAATAAATTATTATATTTATTTAGTCAAATGTTATAAAATATAAGTGTATAATATCACATTAAATAATTAAAAAAAATAAAATAAAATAATAAATAACTTAAATTTATTATTTAGTTTTAAAGTAAGTTCAACTAATAAAAATAAATCCAAATAATTGTTATTCAATACAAATCACCCTGTATACACCACAACCAAATCAATACAATCCACCTATTGCAAACCATGAAATATTGACACCGAGTTAGTTAACACCAAATATGAATTGATCGACTGAAAAAAAAAATTACGGAAACATGATTAAATGCAATTTTTAATTCTTTGATATAACCAATGTTGTAGAACTCGGTACCTGTTCGGCCGACTACCGAGTAGCGAGTACTCGGGAGTACTCGGATTTTCTAATTCATGTAGAAATATTTTTAGAGAAATTATATATGTCAAAATCATAAGTTGATTAAAATATATAACAAAATTAGAGACATGTGAATACACAAAAATTGAAAAGCACATAATAGGCTTACTTTAATAAATAATTACTGAAAATTTAAGATATATATATATATATATATATATATATATATATATATATATATATATATATGTGTGTGTGTGTGTGTGTAGTAATAATTAAATGTGTGTGTGCGTGTTAAATAATAAATCATTAAGTATATTATACATATTAATCACTGAGTTGACCGAGTTTACAACACAGTAAGGGCCGATTGGGGAGTACTCGGGATTCTGTAACTCGCATCGGTAAGGGGCCGAGTAGCGAGTACTCGGAGGAGTAATCGGCCAACACTACGAGTTTTACAACACTGGATATAACCATACCAATTACAGTGGCCGTTCAAAAAAAAAAAACAATTACAGTGAAACCATAAAATGATTATAGTGAAACCATAAAATTAATTGCGAAACCTCATTGAAGCAAATGAAACAATACAACCACAAAACCAAGTTACATTAAAACCATAAAACGGTAATAATTTTGTAAACCTCATTGAAGCAAATTTACATGAAACACATGATTTCAAAACCATAAAACAAATAGTCAAAATGCAAATTGTATGATGTCCGAATACAAATTTAGAGTGAAATTAATGAAATAAGAGAATTATACAATTTCAATAACACAAACTATGATGAAAAGAATGATATATAAAATAGGAGAATATGAAGCTTCAATGTTGATTGGTTTGGAAGAGAAAATGATGATGGGAAAAACAAAGGGAAATAGACTTATTATGGTAATTAACTTTTTAGTTTGTTCACATCTGGGTAACTATTTCTTTTTTGTACACATATAGGTAACAAACTTTTTGAAAGTGGTCACATATGACCATTATGACGGCTGTAGAAGGTTACATCCGGTCATAATGGTCATATGTGAACATTTCCAAAAAAGTTCGTTACCTACATATGTACAAAAAAAAAATTACCCAGATGTGAACAAACCGGAAAATTAATTACCTTGATAACTCAATTTCTTTTCTTTTTATTTTACATTCTAATTTTGATTTGGTATTAAAATTTAACCTAGATGGTAAATATTTTTAAAACCACACCATTTTGGTAAATATCTTTTTAAAATACACTACTTTGTTAACAAAAAAAAAATAAAAAAAAAATAAAAAAAACTGTAGTTTTGACATGGTAAAAAAACACATTGTGGTTTTATAGAATTTTATTGTTTAAGATATTCAATATAAAAATTTAAATTTACTAGAGACTAAAAGTATCAGAGAATGAAGACCAATAATATAAAAAAACACATCGTTTGATAAGCTAAAGCTTAGAATGTTGTTATAGAGTTTCATGTTTTGATTTGCATTTCAAGTTATGGTTTTCAATTGATATGGTTCTCAGATTTTTCTTTCTGATATCAAATTTCTTTTCCTACAAGGATTGTGATGCATTGGGTTGTGGTGGTGGAAAATTCGATGAAGAGACAGTGTATTATGGTGTTGGTTCGCCAAAGTTGAAGGATCGGAAAAGAAGGGACGATGAAGACGTCGATGTCACTAAAGATGGAAAGGAAATAGAAGCTAAGGAGGATGAGAGATGAGATGGTGACTGATGGGGCCCATATTAAAATTTTCAAATGTGGTTTTCAGGTTTAAAGTGAGGAGATACAAATATTTCCGAATAAAAACTTACAGTGAAATTAATGAAATAAGAGAATTATACAATTTCAATAACATAAACTATGATGAAAAGAATGATATATAAAATAGAAGAATATGAAGCTTTAATGTTGATTGGTTTGGAAGAGAAAATGATGATGGGGAAAACAAAGGGAAATAGACTTATTATGGTAATTAACTTTTTAGTTTGTTCACATCTGGGTAACTATTTCTTTTTTGTACACATATAGGTAACAAACTTTTTGAAAGTGGTCACATATGACCATTATGACGGCTGTAGAAGGTTACATCCGGTCATAATGGTCATATGTGAACATTTCCAAAAAAGTTCGTTACCTACATGTGTACATAAAAAAAGTTACCTAGATGTAAACAAACCGAAAACTTAATTACCTTGATAACTCAAATTCTTTTCTTTTTATTTTACATTCTAATTTTGATTTGGTATTAAAATTTAACCTAGATGGTAAATATTTTTAAAACCACACCATTTTGGTAATATCTTTTTAAAATACACCACTTTGTTAACAACTCTAGATTTGACATGGTAAAAAAACACATTGTGGTTTTATAGAATTTTATTGTTTAAGATATTAAATATAAAAATTTAAATTTACTAGAGACTAAAAGCATCAGAGAATGGAGACCAATAATATAAAAAAAACACATCGTTTGATGAGTTAAAGCTTAGAATGCTGTTATAGAGTTTCATGTTTTGATTTGCATTTGAAGTTTATGGTTTTCAATTGATCTGGTTCTCAGATTTTTCTTTCTGATATCAATTTTCTTTTCCTGTAAGGATTGTGATGCATTGGGTTGTGGTGGTGGAAAATTCAATGAAGAGACAGTGTGTTGTGGTGTTGGTTCGCCGAAGTTGAAGGACCGGAAAAAGAAGGGACGGTGAAGACGTCGATGTCACTAAAGATGGAAAGAAAATAGAAGTCGAGGAGGATGAGAGAAGAGATGGTGACTGATGGGACCCATATTAAAATTTTCAAATGTGGTTTCAGGTTTAAAGTGAGGAGATACAAATATGTGGGGTTTATTATGTTTTTCAAATATATAAAAAGTAAATACGTAAATAAGAAAATTAATTAACAAATAAATTAATAAGGGCACAATAGCCTTTTTAGGTAAGACAAGGACCAAACATGCAACAAAAATAAACAGTATGGATCATCCGAGTTAAAAAAATAAGTTAGGGACTAAACGCGCAAATTACCCCCAAACCGCAGAGACCTTTCGTGTAATTTACCCTCACCTTTTCGGTTTGTTCAAATCTGGGTAACTATTTTTTTTCTTGTACACATATAGATAACGAACTTTTTGGAAGTGTTCACATATGACCATTTATGTATAATTGTTATTGCCATTTTATTTTTTCCATAAATATTTTACTTCTATGTTTGTCATGCTATATTTTATTGTTATTTTATTTGAACAATTTAATTTTAATAAATACTAATACTTTTATTAATTTAAAATAACATGAAATTAAAAACTAAGACACATAATAAGAAAGACAAAAAAAACAGGGTTATATTTTTATCTTCAAAGCCACTTCATGCTTTTCTCCGGCGAAGTTACTCACGTCTTGCATATAAAGTTTCATGTTATGAGCTTTTTTTTTTCCTTAAGTTCATTTTTTTGTGCGAACTCTGAATATTTGTTCAAAGGTTTAGTTAGGTTTGCGATCTCCAACTTCACTTCGTGTAGCTCATTAAAATTGTTTGCATCTGGAGTTGATGATTTACCTATGTCTCTTTGTTTGGTTTTGTATCTTCTCATTCGGTAGGTAGATGGTGAAATATCAATTGTGTCAACATCATTGAGGTTAAATATAACACGAGCATTCGATGACGTAGTGTGGTCAAAGTCAGATGTTTTTGTTATTTTAGAACCACCTATATGTGCTTCAGCCGTTTGAAATAAATGGCATTTTGGACAATCTTTGACAACATTCCAAAATTCAACATGTTTGAAACTGCTCTGGTATTCTAATCGGAACATTTTGAGCTTTTTGGGGTTGGGTTTCTGGAACACATTCGAAGATGTTGAATTCAATTAGGGTAACCGAGATTTCAGTTTTCATTGGATAGTGAATGTACGGCCCCATACCGCCATAATAAAATGCAGGATGAAAAAAAATAGGTCGGTCCATTTATGGGTAGAGTGATGAAGGAATTGGGTTGTTTCTAATTAGTATCTTTTGGTTGCTTAGATAAGACATTTTTGTAGTAGAAAGATTAAATCAAGAGTATAAGATAAACTGTTTGACAAGATAAAAATTTTATATGGATGGTTGTATTTGTAAAGGAAAAAAATTCAACACAAAATATCAGTAAAAAAATGGGGGGGGGGGATTAATAACATACTATAAAGATTGAGGACAGACAGCTAATCGTTATCACAACAACCACTCTCTGGTAACTACCACCACCGTTTAAAACCCCCAAACCCTTCTCTGGTATGAACAACACACTAAACTAACATTTTATGAACTCAAACATGTACATATTCAAAATCTACATTTTCAAAATTAATGAGCCCAAACCTACATATATTTAAAACCAAAATCTAAACATATTATCTTTAAAAAAAAGAAATTGATTTACTAATACATGTAAAAAATAGAGGTTTGAAGACGACTTCATACCATTTGAAAAGTGGTTTGGAAATGATTTCCCACTAAACCCAGATTTGATAATCGATTTTTTTATACTAAGGAACTATGTTATGCACATTTAATTCCATTTTATAGGGGGTTAGGGTTTTGCGGGTCACAACAACATAGAAGTTTAATCAGCATCAAACCACCTAAAATATGCTCCACAAATCAAACCACATCAAGAACTCAATAACTCATTTTTCCCACACCAACAACATATTCAAACATATAATTTTGTGCTAAACAAATAGAAACCCACATTTAAAGAAACTCAGAAATCAGTGTCAACCAAATTAAAACAATATGCAAAATTAGAATCGAACAACATCAAGTATGGATGTTCATATCCACGTCAAAATCGAACCATATGCAAAACAATGACGAAGGGATAAGGAAAATGTGGTTCAAACCTTCTGAGTTTTCATTCCTAATCTAGGGGCACGTGTGCGTTTTTATGCAATGTTGTTATGATTGAGATTTTTCTAATCACGGAAGGAGATTGAAGTTGTAAGTTGGGGTGCAACATTCTTGTTAATTGAAAGTTTTTCCAACAAATAGTTTTGTAAGCAAAAGGATGTAGTTTTTTTTTTTTTTTTTTTTTTTTTTTTTTTTTTTTTCGAGAAGAAGAAGACGTGTGGTTAAGAAGAGGAAAAAAAATGAGAGGATAGGGTGCAAGAGGGGTGGGTGGGGCCTATTTTCATTTTCCCTTTTTGATATTAGAATAAATAAAAATAAATAAAAAAACTTAAAAATACCATTTTATATGGGTTGGGAACCAACAAGAAATTGAAACCATGAGACCATTTTCATCAAAAAAAAATTACGACTAAACTTGTGACTTTTTATAAAATACAGGGACCATTTATGTAATTTTGTCTTTTTGTTATTTACGAAATTTAATTTGATTAGGGTTCTTGCTTATACGTTTTTTCCCAAAAGGAACTGTTGACGCCCAGAATCATCCATACACCTGAAAGTGATGAAGCTTAAGCAACTAGAAAGTCTACTCGGTAATCTTCAACAGTTCGACAATCCCAAGGTAGATTCATACACATTCATATACTTTGCACGTATCTGTAAACTGATTGTTCTACATGAGCTTTTTTTCATGTTGAATTGGAAAAAAGGCTAATTTCAGATTTACACATGAACAAGTGTTTGGGTTATCTATGACTTGCAGATTGAGCTGGAACAATATCCAACTGGAGCTCACATTGCTTCTCGTATGCTATACACGGTACTTCCTCCGTCTCCCTTCTCTTCTATGTTCCGATTGTTCTTGTACGTTTGTGTTGAGATGGTATTCTAGGTCTAAAAATTGAAACTAAGCTCATATTCTTCATACTCGACTTCAATATTCATATGAATTGCCTCAGTTTTGGGGGGAAAAACTGATCAACTAACTACATCCACCTTGATTACAAATGCGTTCATTATAATAGTTCGATTGATGTCATGAATTCAAACGTGTTCTGTTTGTTTAGAGCAGGGGTATCAATGAGCTGTTTTTGTTAGTTTGGCTGTAATATGTAGCAGCGGCAATGGAAGCTTGTTGATAAAAGCCCTATTTGTTATCATTTCTTTGAGTTTTCCAATTTTACTGATGTAGGCAGAGAATTCATATGGGGATGTAAGCAACAAAGTAGTAGCAGACTTTGGATGTGGGTGTGGCACATTAGGTCTTGCTGCCACTCTCCTTGATGCAGAGTGAGTTTTTTCTTAAAAAAAATCTTGTTCATGGCTTATTTTTCTGTCAGATTTTGTGGTTAATCTTTCAGTTTGTAGTGAGCATAGCAGAAAGTGTTTTATGTATCTGCAATTTGACTCTAAATTGGTCTTTAATAGACATGTCATTGGCATAGATGTTGATGATGAGTCCCTTGAAATTGCATCAATCAACGCTGATGATCTGGAGGTAATTATGACATCAGCAGACACCCTTTATCCTTTATTATTCAAGATTTGTTAATTATTAGTTATCTGATTTAAGGTTCTTTTATGGTGATTTATTTACCAGGTCGAAATGGGTTTAATTCAATGCGAAATCAAGAATTTAAATTGGCGAGGTCACTTATCTTATAACCCTTTTTCTAAATTCCATTTTATTGTATGCTAAAAAAAACTTAATAATTACTGATATTTGATAATTTTTGTTATTTTTGTAGGTCAAATTGTTGATACTGTTGTAATGAACCCTCCATTTGGAACACGGAAAAAAGGAGTTGACATGGAGTTTCTATCTGTTGCATTGAAGGTAAAAATAAAATATCCATTCCTTTTAGTGTCATAATAATCTGTATGAAATATGAATGTATCAGGTTGCTTCTGAAGCTGTATATTCATTGCACAAGACAACAACAAGAGAAGTATGTCTTTTTTTCACTCATGAAAATTACATTTAAAAAAAAAAGGTTTTACAATAAACCAAATTTCGTAAAAATCTATATATTAAAATCCCACAAAAAAAGTTGAATATTTTTCTTGTTTTTGTGATTGTAGCATATCAAAAGAGCAGCATTGCGTGATTACAATGCTAGCAGTGCTGAGGTTATATGTGAGGTACATCAAATAACATTGTATTTTTATATATTTTTTTTCTTATCAAGGCATTTTACTTTGAAAAATATTTCCATTTATAGAATTGTGCTTTCAACATACAATGTTGTAATAAAAAAAAGATCATAAAATGTTATAAACAAATTAATGAAAGTACGTTGCTATTGTAAGTTTCTTAACATATCTTGTAAATTTGCCAGCTTCGATATGATCTGCCAAAACTATACAAATTTCACAAGAAAAAAGACGTTGACATTGCTGTTGACTTATGGCGATTTGTTCCTAAATCAAAACAAGAATCTTCTTCATGAAAAAAGATGTTGCATTGACCACTCGCATTAAAGATGTTGACTTTGAAGACTGATTTTGGGATGGTTTTTATGGTTTTTTTTGTTGGTAATTTATAAATTGTGTGTATATTGTTAGTACAGAAAAAATATAAAGTTGGCTATGAATTAAAACAGTATAATTTTATAAGTAGTTGTAACATCATTTCACTATGTCTAATTTGGTTAGCGAATTTTAGAAATTGTTGGCAAAAATAACGTATTTTTAGGAAATGGCCATTTTGAGTAAGTTGAAACAAAAAATGTTTGTTAATTGTTGACGAGATAAAATAATTTTAATAGTAGTTTGTGATATTTAATAGAACAAATTACTGAAATCGTCCCTGTGGTTTGGGTAAAATTGCATGTTGGGACCTAACTTTTTTTTTGCACTCGGACAGTCCCTAACATATCATTTTGTTGTGTCTACAGTCCCTTGTAGAGATAAAAAGACTATATTACCCTTGACATTTTCTTTTTCAGTTTTTCTATATTTATAAATTATTTATTAATTAAAGAAAATAAATTATAAGTAATTTATAAATAAGTGGGTCCAACTTACCATTTTCCCCTTCCCCTCCACCTTCCACCTCCACCATCTACCTTCGGCAACCTCCGGTAACCTTGGTTTATAAAATGAAAACCTACAACTATCCCCACTACTCTTTATAAAATCAAAACATTCAATCAATACTAAGCCAAACCACAAATCAAAATCAAATCCTACAAAAAATGATCAATGATCAATCAACTACAAATTTGGAACATCAACTGAGGGGAGGCAATGGAGGGGAGGAGGTCGTTTTCTTGTTGTGATTCCCGTTGAGATTGATGTGATTCCGACCATCCAACCTCCAAACGACGACCATCTTCTTCTACTTTACACCGCCGCTTCCTCACCATCCACAGTTGGCTTTGAGCTCCCACCACCCCACCCCAACTCACGAATAAATACCCAATAAAACCCTTTTCAATGGTTTTCTTCTGCTCGATTATCTCATTCCCCTCCCAAATCGGTAAAAGAACAGAACACTTACGCTGTATCTCTCGATTGTCTTCTTTCTCGACTGTATCTCTCGATTGTCTTCTTTCTTGACTGTCTGTTGATGAACCATGAGAAACATACTTTCACATTCTTCTTCTGGTTCGAATTTTGGGTTTTCGTGATATCGGGGTTGTCATCTGTCTCCACCCATATGCGTTGAATAAATTCTTCTTTAATCTGCATTCCATTGTTGCCTTTTGGTGTTGATTTGGATTTCAGTTGGTTTTTTTGCAGGTTTTGTTTCTTGATTTGGTTTTTGATTTGATTTTAGTTGATTTTGATTTGATTTCAGTAGGTGTAGAATGAGGTAGAAAGAAATGACGGGGCGGAGGGTGAATCTAGGGCGAGGAAGATTTTTGATGGTGAGGGGTTCAATGTTCGCCGACGGTATAGGAGAAGGAAGGCCCTCGGAGAACGTGGCAGTCGGAGAAGATGAACCCACAGTGGCTGATTTGGGGTACAAATCTGGAACATCAACTGAGGGAGGCAATGGAGGGGAGAAGATTTTTGTTAAACTTTTTTCTTAAAAAGATAATATTATTAGAATTTAAAATCAATAATAGAAAAATAGAAAAACAAATAAAAATAAAAGAAAGGGTATTTTAGTCATTTCAGGTGTAGTAGGGACTGAACGTGCAACAAATATAAACATTAGGGATGGTCCGAGTGCAAAAAAAAGTTAGGGACCAAACACGCAATTTTACCCAAACCACAAGGACGATTTCAGTAATTTGTTCTATTTAATAAGACTATTACGTTATCACAAAATACCATTATTTACCTTCATTTTTTGAAAGGGTAATCTGATATTTACTCTAATTTCATATATGTTTTAGACAGGATTTGAACTTTCACAACTGATACCATATTTAGATAAATGATCATTTGTATTTATTTATTTTTTTAACTTTTATAACAAAAGGATCATTCATTTTGTAGTATAATTTATTGTGAATTACAAAATTATTGTATAAATTGACCCACCACAACCAACCTGTAAAAAGATAATACAAAAAATGATATTTTGAGGAACGACATATTTTATGAAATGATTATTTTGTAAAAAAATGCAATTTTTTCTATTCTTTATAAGTTTCATATGGTGATGAGTGATGACTATTTCATAAACCAATTTTGCAATTTGCAGTATTTATATTACAAAAAGATAGTCTCGTAACTCGTAAGGACAAAAATATGATGAGTTTTAAATGGACACTAACATTATTTTATTTTATTTTATGATTAGTTTCAATAGTATTTTTTTGACAATATAAATTTAATAACGTTGTTTAAACTTTAAAGTACAAAAATCCTTTTAACAAGAAGTAACGGATATGGACGTCTGTTCGTATCGGGAACATGTACCGTTGAATAAGAAATAAAATCGACGGTTTGATCCTCAATCACTGAAATCGGACGGTTTAAAGCGAATTATCTTTTCGTTAGGCCAAGAACACCAAAACACTTGATCACTACTCCTGCTTGGAGACGAAGGAACTAATTCGAACACACTGGAGAGTTCATGCTCACGAATTTTAAGAAATTGCCTGAAATATGAACGATTTGTAAATGTATGTGAAGAAAAATTAATGACGATGATGACAACGTTAAGGAGAGGTGTAGCAGGAGCTAGTAGGTTAAATGCTTCGCGTTTCTTCTCATCATCGTTGCATTCTGGTGGTGTTGCCGGTGATTTAGCGGCGGATGATCTGGTTTTGGACGATGTACCTGTATCCACTCCGGTTAACTCTGTGAAGTCTGATACAATACCTACGCTTCTCCAGCCGCGCGTCGTGATATATGATGGCGTTTGTCATCTCTGTCATCGAGGTTTCTTCTCGATTCCTTCCATGAATCAAGCTTTTGTTTGTGCATAATTTGTAGTTTAGCGATTGCAATTGCTTCACATTGTTCGAATCATGAAAACTTTGTGACTGAACTCACTGATTGTGCATTTGATCCAACAATGCTCAAATTTAGGGCCGATTGACGTTTAGAGAGATCTCATAGTTCCAGTTTTCTGATCATAGCTATTTTTGTTCCTCTATTTATGTTTTTGAAAAGGTGGATAGGATTTTTGTTCCTCTACCCTTAAAAACTTGACGAACAGCGAACGATTCATACAATCATAATCACAATCAATATTGAACAGGATCTCATAGTCTCACACGATACAATCATAATCACAATCAATATTGAACAGGATCTCATAGTCTCACACGAAGGGTTACATCTATTCGCAATAAATTTTCATCTTTTCTCAAGAAACCTTATATGATCGTTTATCTTGTTTACACAGGTGTGAAATTAGTGATCAACGCAGACAAAGATAGGAAAATCAAGTTCTGTTGTCTGCAATCCAAAGCTGCTGAACCATATATGAGAATGTGTGGTGTGGATCGTGAGGATGTTCTCCGTCGATTTTTGTTCATTGAAGGACCAGAAGCATACCACCAAGGGTCAACTGGTTACAACTCTTCTCTTTACTCATAAAGTTCTTGTTATATGTTAAATTGTTAATTCATATGCTCAACCTCTTCCCCCCATTAAGAGCTAAAAGGAATATACACACTGATATTTGAGTCTTCATATCTTGTTTTTGCAGCTGCTCTGAAGGTGCTTTCTTACTTGCCATTGCCATACTCAGCATTGAGCTCTCTCATGGTTGTTCCGATTCCAATAAGAGATGCTGCATATGACTATATTGCTAAGAAAAGATATGACTGGTTTGGTAAGGACACGAATTGTTTAGTCTTGAAAGAGAAAGAATTGCTTGAAAGGTTTATTGATAGAGATGAAATGATTCACAAGAAATGGTCAGACTAGTAATTCTTCATGTTTTAGGTAAGTTCTCTCATCCCTGTTTACCATATTTCAGATAGAAGCTTAGATTTTTGAGGTGTAAATGCGTAGTTGAAGTTCCAAATATGATGTTTGGTCCTGTGAACTTTTTACTGTCTTTTGAGTCCCTAATTTATAGTCAGAGTTTCGGGTGTTGGACCAAAACTTGTGCCCTTTTATGAATAGATCAGGGTTAAAGGTGTGCATTTATGCAACTATGTTTTACCTTTTTTTATTATACAAGGTATGCAATGGGTTTCGTTTTAGGACCAAAACTTGTGTCATTTCCTCTGTTTAACTGGTTGAAAAGCTGTGTGATTCATGTTTGTTGCATAGATTGGTAAAAAGATGAAAACATTGGCTCATTAGTTGGTATATTGATGCATCATATTTTGGCTTAAATGAAAGGGAAAATACATAAAAGCCATTATATTTTGGTCATTTTTCGGGTTTAACCATTATATTTAAGTTTTATCAGTAAAGTCACCCAAGTTTGATAATTATTTTTATATCGACCATTTTTGACCTGCAATGACCTTCTATTTATATAGCAGATTAAAGTGGTTTACAAAAGAAAAACTTTATCAAAGTTTAGTGGCTTTAGTGGAATATTTAGTGTCAAAATTTTCAATAAAACCACTAAATTTGACACGGAAAGAATTGTTTATATAGTGGATAGTAAAAATATAATGGTTTTTATGTATTTGCCCAAATAATTATAATTCACAAAAATAAATAGATTCTAAGTGATTTCTTTTATATGTTTATTATTATTATTGTTGTTATATTAAATTGCTTCAAATATTAGTTTGAAGAGCTTCACATTTTGATCCGTTGATTCTGATCATATTTTTTTAGGATTGAGCTCATTACATAATTCCAAAAGAAAAATATTATAAAACTAATCGTTTCATTAATAACTAATGAAATTTACAACCGCATATTTTACATGCATTGAAACAAAAATGAAGTTGATAAGTAAATAACTAATGAAATTTACAAACTGCATATTCTTTGAATTGCAAGAAGCAAAAAGTAAAACTCTAAATAACATCAAGATAGCAAATTTACAGATAAGATGAGTTTTCCATGATCTACATAAAACCATAACAATATTACACGTTCAAAAGCATTGGTGCTGGAAATTCTTGTGCATAAATCACTTGTAAAATTTTCAAATGGTGAAAAAATTTACAACACATTGATTGTTTTCCCCCATATCATCATATATGTAGTCAAATATAAGCTTTTTCCGACTTACCAGCGAGATTCCTGATTCCCCCTTCAGTTCTGTGGGTCCCATCTTCCTTTTTCACATCTTTGGTTCTGATCACATAAATTTTTTAAATGTCAGATTAGATTATCATATAACAAAACAAATGAACTTTTTACTTTTTAGTGTTACTTTTGATGTTGAGTCATTAATGGGACAAAATTGATGGTGCTACTTACCAACTCCCACAAGGCTTCTTTTTGTCAACCTTTACATGAATATTGAACCATTTCTTCTTCTTTATTCTTTCCCTTGATGTTGCTTTTTGTTGGCCATCTTCTTTTGATTCCTTTGATCCACCCCCTCTGCTCTTACTTCTACGACGACCACTGCTGCTACTGTGCTTCATTGGTGAAGCCATTGTGTACGATGCATGTATCTCATTTCGTTGCATAAGAAGCTCATCAATCTACATAACAAGTAGTACATAGTAAAATTACTTATCTACCCTTCTTTCATCCATAACCTCCAAACTACGGCCTTGTTTTATTTTCCTATTACGTGTTTCTCGATAAAGTTTGTTACTTTCCTATACCGAATAAACCGTCTGAACGAGACTAAATGACCCTTACATTCCAAAAGACCAAATAAAAAAAGAAACATCCATGTATGACATTTTTTGAACTTACCGCTTGCATTTCTTGGGCATATCTACCAGTCATCTCTGTGAATTGTGCAAGAACCTGTCAATATACAAACATTAAATACCAAAAAGAAAAAAAGTATATATATCAATTTATAAAATTAACCAACCTGTTTATACTCGGATTCAAACTTTGAAAGCTCCAATCTTTTCGACAAGATCTGAGCTTCAACTGTTCTCAAGCTCTCCTTTTCTTCCACAAAAGCCTCTGTGCAAAGAACTTCTATTGTGTAGCTCACACTTTTGAAGAAATTATCACCTACAAACATGATGATATTGAGATATTTGATGATTAATAGTCAAACATTAAACATTATCAGCAAACTAGATAACAAGTCTAACCATAAACAGCAAATGTATGCATTCCGGCTTTTATTTCGTGTATTTCACATGGCTGAAATCCATCGAGTTTTTTGAAGAAAACAGCATCCGGATCCTTTACAGATCCCATCTGAAGCAAACTCAACAAGAAATTAAAAACCGAATTAAGATTATGTAAAAATAAGCACAATTTTTTTTTTTTTTTAATTATAATTGCATATAACTTACTGAATTAGATGGTGGATCTAATCGGTAGACTGGGAAACCAAGAAAATACATTCCAGCTGATGTCACTTTCCCTGTTTTTGCACTATCTTCCTGTAGTGCAAGATTCAATCCCCCATTTTCTTCTTGATCAAAATACAAAAGCTGCAAAAAAATGAAACTTTTTAGGAAAAATAAAGAGATAAATATTACATAAGTTCAATTCGGACAGAAAAATAATAATTGTTACAAACCTTGAACTTGCTCTTGTCTGCTGATTGAACTCTGCAAACCAATCCAGCTTGTGCTTGTTTCTCTGTTATTGTAACAGAATAGAAATGAGCACATTGCTTCTCAACCTGTACACAAATACAAATAAAATGAACAATCACAATAAATAAAACTTGAAAAAGAAAGAAATAAAGAAGAAGCAGCTTTTACCTTTCTAACAATTGGTTGCCCTAACTCAATTGGCTCAATAGTAACTGTACCATGTAGTGCCTCCTCTAACAAAGTAGCAGATACAGTAGTTTTTATGGGCACTCCAAGTTTGCTGCATTGTTTTATAAAACATAGTTTCAAAGAGAGTTGCAACTTGCAAGCATAAAGATGAATAAACAGAAGGAATAAATGTTAAAAACACCTGAAAATTGCAGCAAACATGGTATTCACAGCACCTAGACTTGAAAGATCTAGCTCCAAATCTTGGTTTTTGCTATCAACAGCCTGCAACCATGATGACTACTGTGTTAGCAAAAAAAAAAAAAAAACATGGTATTAAAAAAAAGGGCTGAAAATATCAAAGACAAATTGACCTCAAAACCAGCAGTGTCATATTGATGACGTTTATCAGGATCAGATAATATGTTGTAGGAAAAGGTTATCTCATTGAACATATCAGTTGTTTTAGGGTCATTTGCATTCTTGTCAGGATGATACCTAAGATACAGTATCGACATAAATCCATCAGAATAAAAGAATTAGTTCATGAATAGCTTCAAAGTTTTGATCTAACAAATGGTGACACTCAAAAGATGAAGATATAAGATCCAGATTTGTTTACAATTGACATATATGTCAAAAAGGACAAAGAAACATATTAAGAGCTTTTTTTTAGACAAAATAATCTTCTAATCCTTCCTGAAATTACTCCAACACAACGAATCATCTGTCGCAATTATGTAAATCATTTTGGCTAGGGCAACTGAAAAAAATCTACACAACCACATCACGCAAATACCAAATCCATGTGTAATGATTCAAATGAATTACTACTACAACGCCAGCAATGCGGATGAACTTTACGAGATAATTTTATTTATCGGTTTTACCAGAGTCGTAAACACATAATTCATCTTTATATCTAAAAGCGACATAGATGGCTAACGAAAAACTACTTCGAATCACGTACAGAAAATGAAATTTTAGCAACTAATTCTGAAAAAATTTGAAAAAATTGAGAGGAATTGTAAGATAACATACTTTAAAGCCAATTTACGATAAGCACTTTTGATTTCTTGATCTGTGGAGTTGCGAGACACACCGAGAACATCGTAGGGGTCTCTCAGCGACTGTTTTTCTGAATCGTTCTTCTCCGATTTCGACTTATGAGCCGGCATTTTCAATAATTTTGAACTATTGAAAACTCGGCGCTGAGAAAAACCTAAAAATGTCTACCAAAAATACGAAGGCCTTTTTAATGTGAAATCTGAAAATTGAAATTGGAGACGAGATCAAATTCTTGTAAATTTGAACGCGAGATTCTTGTTGTGACGGAGAAGCAGAAGAAACGATGAACAGTTGGAACAACAAAGAAACCCTTTTGCGTTGTAGACAATCTCAGCTCCGTTTGGTTTGGTGGCTGGCCTCCCTCACTGGGGGAGAAAGAGTGTTGTCGATAAAAGTTTTGTCATCGTATGAAATGTTACAAATAACCCCTCATGGTTTTTGATTATTACACATTCATCCTTTTGTATTTTGAATCCTTGACCATGGTTTTGAAAGATTTTTTTAGTCTGGAATAAGCTCATTGATACATCCACATAGACTATTTCATTCCTTTTACTAATATATAATCTTAATATGAATAAATGAACGAACAAATTCTACAATAATAATCAACTTTAACATAAAAACAATAACATCTCACCAAACATTTTTCACATACAAAAATAGGTAATCACAATGGTCCAAGTTGTACCATCTCAAGACTCATCAAGTGAGGGTATATTATGGAGTATTAGAGATATTTTGAACGAACATGATGAAATTATAGAATTACAAGAATAAACAATGTGTTGCGTTGTTGCTACGTGGAACTAGCGTTTGAGATTGATCAAGGAAGAGCAACAACGGGACAAGAGCAATGATGAATAATGATAAACACGGCGGAGGGAATGCAACATGCATCATCATTGCAGGAGATGCATCCTACGACTCGCTATGAAAAAACTGTTTTTTTTTTTTTTTTTTTTTTTTCTTCGTTAGAGCTAATAGGTCAGGGAAGATGTGACAGACAATTAGGCATGGCTGTTATCAGAGACATGGGTGGGAGGTCATCCTCATATGGGGTTCAGATCGATAAATAAAGGGAGCAATGATGAAGGATAGGTTGTAAGAAAGGAAAATGTAATTAGGTAAAATGTGTGCCCGGATGGATTGAGCCATCTTTTGACTTTAAATACTCATTTATGTTTAATGTATCTATTGAAAAAAAATGATATATATATTTTGAGATTAAATTTTATATGTACATGAAACCAAATATTTATTTAACTAAACAATTATATTAAAAGCTAGCAAAAAGAAAACAATACAAATTAAGGCAGAAGTAACCAGTTCTTTTTAGTTTTAGCATGTCTAAATCTGAACTAATTAAAAGAAACAATGTTTTATGCATATTTCATGCATACATAAACTTGTATATTGAGAAGATCGAATATACCAATTTATTTTTGTCCCTTTTTTTTTAAAAGCAATATACCTTTTATAAAGAAAGAAAACAATCTTTTTATTATTCTTACGTCTCAGTGATATATTGTTATTAAACTTTTTATAAAATAACAATGTAGTATATATTCCACTACTGCAAAAGTAATAATATGTCTCCTAAAATGAAATAAGTAGGAAGTATATTATTATTATTTGTAAATAAAATAAAATTATTTAAAAAACATAAAAATATCAATTTTATACACTTTACCTTTTTGAAAAATAAGAATATACTCATCAACCATATGTTACAAATAACCTCTCATATATTTATGAACCTTTTTTGTACTTGTTAAAATCGTTAAAAGTTGAGATTAAAAGAAACAATGTCTTATAAAGATTTCATACATACATAAACTTGTATATAGAAAAGATGGAATATACCAATTTATTTTGTCCATTTTTTTTAAAGCAATATTTCTTTCATATAGAAAGAAAACAATCTTTTTATTATTCTTTCATCTCAATGATATATAATTATTATTTTTTACAAAATAATAATGTACTATATATTCCACTACTGACAAAAATAATAACATGTCTACTAAAATGAAATAAGTAGGAAGTATATTGTTATTATTTGCACATAAAATAAAATTATTTAAAAAACATAAAAAATATCAACTTTACACACTTTACATTTTTGAAAAATAAAAATACACTCATCAACAATAAGTTACAAATAACGTATCATATACTTATGAACCTTTTTTGTACTTGTTAAAATCGTTAAAAATTAAGATTAAAAGAAACAATGTCTTATATGGATTTCATGCATACATAAACTTGTATATTGAGAAGATCGAATTTACTAATTTATTTTTGTCCATTTTTTAAAGCAATATACCTTCCATAAAGAAAGAAAACAATCTTTTTATTATTCTTTCATCTCAATGATATATTATTGTTATTTATTATAAAATAATAATTCTACTACTGCAAAAGTCCTTAAATGAAATAAATAGGAAGTATATTGTTATTATTTGCAAATAAATAAAATTATTTAAAAAAAAAAAAATATCAATTTTATACACTTAACCTTTTTGAAAAATAAGAATATACTCATCAACCATAAGTTACAAATAACCTATCATATACCTATGAACCTTTTTTTGTACTTATTAAATTAAAAGTTAAGATAGAAATAAGTTTATAATTTCTACGATCCAAATTTATGGTTAATCATAGAAACACTCGTCTTGATGCACCGATTAGACTTCATTTTACTAAGGATGTAAAATAGAATTCTCTAAATACATTAGGGGTTAAAATGACAAAGCAAATTATAAACAAATAAAATAAACAATAAAACATAATTATTGGCATTATAGAAATATGGGGTAGGTCATGATATCATATCATTATTCAATCGAGTGTCCCATTATGAAAAATATGCCATAATAACAATGTCTCACTTAATTATTAGTAGAGTAAGTTACACTTTTGGTGCATATGCTATATATACTTCTTTTCAGATTTGGTTTTAATTTTTAAAAGAGTAAATTACAGTTTTGGTCCCTATAATTTGATCATATTCTTACCTTTGGTCCAACCTTTATAGTGTTGATAGAAATCACCCCTCTTGTTTAGAAAAACTTCAGCCGTGGTCTCTGATCCGGATAAAAAACAATTTTACTCTTTTTATTTATTTTCCTTTTGCTTTTACCCATTTACAATATTTAATAATAAAAATTTAATAAAAGACTCACTCACCCACTCTTTTTTCTGCCTATTCACATCGTCCTCAAATAACCAAGGGTTGACTCTAATAATGTCCCTTTTCTTGTGACACTATCATCTTCTTCACATAGTTTAGCTAAATCAACCGGACCCATATATTAATATATTAAATTGAGAATAATTCTAACCATGAAATAATTAAATACACGTCAACAATTACTTTAAAAAATAAATTTTTGTCCACTTTCATTTCAAAATTTAACTCATACTATGTTTCACCGAATGAAATAATTAAATCCACGTCAACAATTACTTTAATGAGGTAATATTTACTTTAAATTTAAGTAACATAAAAAAGGAGGTTGGTTTGATACCTTGTCAAAGATAGAGATGCCCCTCCTTAATTACCCTTTTGGAATTGATGTTTGATACTTTGATACTCCTCTATTTTCCTAGTCAACTAGACCATTAACTATTGTCCATGAAAAATACAAAAAAAAAAACAAAACAAAACAAAAACAAGAAAACAAAAAACAAATATAAAATCTTTTGTTTCATAAAACTTATAATTGGGGTGTTAGAGTGAAGACAATGTTAATGTTCCTACTTTTCTAAATCGGGCCAGCGATGTTGCTTCTAGCCCAAAACCAGGGGTTGCTTTATGCTTAGTATAGTAAGCTCAGTTGCTGTGGTTAAGTGGGCCGTGGCATCGGGCAACAGCCCAGTTAGTTCTCCTTATTTTTACGAGTTGACCCAGGGACTATTCCAGACAATTATTTGTGTTAGCCCAATCATCCATGTGGACGTGGTGGTCTGGTCAATTCGAGTATTGTAGGTATTAACGAGGTGGGTGTTTAAATTATTGATAATCTAGAAGTGAGAGTTGAATTGGGCAAAGAAGAGTGGTTGCAAAACAATCACTTAATGTATTTTTTTTCTAGCTTTTTCTAGTTTTATATATTGCCACCGTTAAAAAAAAAAAAGAGTGGTTGCAAAACATTAGTTCTCATAAAATGGAAAGGAGAAGGAGGTACCTATTTCAAGTATGGAGGTGTCGAAAAGTAAGAAATGTAAATCGTTGTTGGGTTTAACACCACCTCCAAGGGGTGGACGAGTGTATTATTGCACGGTGACATGCTTTCTTATCATTAGGTTCTTTTTCTAATTCGGATTTGAATATTTTGAATTGTAGTATCATGGTATTTGAATGTTTCAAAGTTCTTCCAAGAATAATGCGATTTTGGAAATGATAGCGGATGAGATTCAAAGTACTTTGTGTATGGGACAGAGTTGTGGTTTCGACTAGGGATGGCATAAAAACTCCATACCCGATGGGGAACCTAAAACCGCTCCCGTTTTGACCGGGAAATCTCCAAGTTGACCGGTGATGTGGACGGGGATGAGGAATCCCCGAATAAAAAAGTGGGGATGAGGATGAGGATATCCTAGATCCAGACCTTGGACCCGACCCCGGTGTATATATATATATATATATATATATATATATATATATATATATATAGTATAATTTACAATATCTAAAAGTTTATTTAAGTAATCAAACTCATTAGTCATTATTTGGTTGAAATTGTATTTTTCATTCTTCTTTTATTTAATTTAACATTGTATATAATTTTATTTTTCTTTTTGGTTTATCTATTTTACCTCAAATATTGTTCTGATAATTTTTTTCTACTTGATTTTTCATGTATGTATTTAAATTTGGTAGAAAATTTGTTTATCGTTTTTATGCAATATATGAATATTTTTATGTTTTTAAAATCTTTAAAATTGTGTTGTTAAAATTGAAATTTAGAGTTTCTCATTACGTAAAAATTTTCATATTAAAGGATAAAAAGAAATTCATGATTCACTGTTGGGATCCCCGATCCCCGTTGGGGGTGGAGACGGTGATTCATTTATATTCCCTAGTGGAGATGAGGATTGAGATGAGGATTCGGGGATGATGATGGGGATTGGGGTCTCCTGTATTCCCTGCCCTCGTTGCCATCTCTAGTTTCGACTTCAGTAATTCATGAAGCTAAGTGGAGTAGGTTGTTACTGGGGCGCGTGTTAAAAATGTTATCAATAAATGTTTTAACTTTGAATATTTATGGTATTAAATAAATGGGTAAAAGAAGTTGAAACCGAGATCGTTGTAGAGTGCGTTTCTTGGGGTTTTAAAGACTTGGATGATGAGAGTAGGTATCTCTATATCACGTGGTATATTGGGAAATATGACTT